CAGTATGTGGAAAATAATGTGTTTTTTGAACCTTAAACCGCATAAACATTTCATTACTCCAAATAATGTTCTTTTTAGCAGCATCATATGACCCCTTTAAATGGTTCAAACAGGGTTTGTGAATATTTCTGAGCGAATTATAGATCACATTACACTGGTGGTTCCCAGCAGGCACACAATGTCATAAGACGTTGATATTTGGTTAAATTTCGGTTGCGACGTCGGGTGACCAAAATTCAATGTCAATGTTAATTTGATGTCCAATACCAACCTCAGATGACGTTGATATTCGTTGTTTTTAGGTTGTGTAACCAAAATCCAACATTAAGTCAATGTCAAATTGGCGTCAAATACTGACGTCAACCCGATTTTCATTCTCAACCAAAATGCAACGTCTGTCCGACGTATAACTGATGTTATATTGACGTCCTGTGCCTGCTGGCTTGTGCTGTAGAAAGACATGTTTATCTAAATCACACTGCAAACTCAACTCTGGCAAGTACACAAACCATTTTGTGCATGAATTGACTGGCAGTTCAATTAATTGAATTGAAAGCTGTGCTGTTCAAAAACGTGTTTATCTGATCGCACTGCAAACTGGACTGAAATTGAATAAAATGGAATTTCTTTCTCCTGTAAATTGAGGAAACATTGGCCGCTAAGTGTCTTAAAACATTATGTGGCGGCAAACAGCTTTAAGCCCATGAGCTATTATTATTGTAAGGGCAACGTCCCACGAAATGAGCAGGAAATGAGCAGGTCTGTTGACGTCAATTCTCGTGTAATCAAGTGTAGCCTTGCATTGGATTGCTTTTGTTTCGCATTGCCCTTTGTAGTAAAACGCTTTCAAAATCCAGAAAACAGAAAGAAAGCTGCCGAAGCAAGCTATTGGGTCTTGAAATTTCAATAACAATTAACCTTTCGCAGACCCAGAGTGCAAAAATATCGACTTTATTTCTCGCCGAATGCCATGTGTACATTCTCCGGCAAGCACCCAACGGATCAAAATGTCTTTGATCATAAAACACAGTCATTTAAGTGCTCTCGAGTCCTTAAAAAAAGGACGGCACAAGCTCACACGTCAGCCAAAGTTTTCCCAAAATACTCCTAAAGGTGCTCTATTATCATAAATATCCTCGCGTTTCTTTGCTGGCTGTGAATGCGAGAGCCGCCAGCTGTGGGGGGATGCTGGGAGTAAATCATGTCCAAGTGGAAATGTCGGAGAGGGCCTTTCAGACGGGGCTGCCTTGAAATCGATGAGAGCCAGAATCATGTGGTTAATCAGCCCCGTGTTAGCACTCAGGAGTGAAGGAGCAGATCAGAGCCCCGCCGAGAGAGTGTTCTCACTCCATACCGAGAGGAGATCCACGGTCTCGCACCTGCACACAAGGGCGACTCCTGCTGTTCGCCTCCACCAGAACTCTGCTTCAGTGCTTAAGTGATGTCTTTATGATAATATGACAAGACAGACAGACACACACAAACTCGCTCACGCACACTCACTTATCTACCAGATCAACCAATCCAGTCTCAGTCACGCACACTTTTCGATGTAGTAAAAAGCAGCAATCTGTTTTGATGAGGTCTGTGGAGGGCTCTCAGCCTCCTGATGAAAGCTGTCCGTCAGCTCACGATACGCTCCTCAGCTGAAGAAATACACTGATTCTTTCACCTTTTCCAGGTCGAAATCACCTACAAGAGAGACAGTACATGATTATGGTCTTTTAGGGTGGAATATGTAACAATGAAAACAGAACAGTTGATTTTAGCACTCATTTATTCATTTAAAACACCAGTATACACAAGAGCCAGATACCGGAGTACATTTTATTTTGTAATTATATAGCTTTGATATGAAGTCTATTTAGATTAAGTCTCTTATGCTCACCAAGGCTGCATTTATTTGATCAAAAACACAGTAAAAAGAGTAATATTGTGAAATATTATTTTAGTTAAAAAAAACTGTTTTCTATATGAATATATTTCGAAATTCAATTTATTCCTTGGATGGCAAAGCTGATATTTTTTTAGCAGCCATTACTTCAGTTTTGAGAACAGTTGCACTGCTTATTATTTTTGTGTAAAACGTGATACATTTCAGTCTTTGATGAATAAAAAGTTCAAAAGAACAGTCTTTACTGCCATTTCTGATCAATTTAATGCACACCTTTTATATAATTGAAAAATGGAACTACATTTTGCCTAAAGCACAACAAAACTACTGTAAAATTGAAGTGAAAAATACTGTGACCAAACAACGTCAGCATAAATGTACATATATAAATTACAAATACACTTTAACATTTGATTGTTTTTTATGCTGACCCAAAGCTGCATTTATTTGATCAAAGATACATCAAAACAGCAATATTGTAAAATATTATTATTACATTATTTAAAACAACCATTTTCTATTTTAATATACTTTGAAATGTAATTTATTCCTGTGATGGCAAAGCTGAAGTTTTGCAGATTTGTGTATTAATAGTTTAGCATTTCAGTGATCAGCTACAACATAAAAATGATTATTGGTATCGGCAGAATTTCAACATCAGTTCATCCCTAGATGCTGATTTTGAATATTCATTTACCAAAAATGGACATTTAATTATTTCCAGAGATTTTTAATTCACTTGTAGCATACAAAATATTGATTTTAGCTTTTAGGGTGTGTTCACACTTGTAGTCCGGTTCTCTTGGTTCGTTTGGTCTGGACCAAAAAAGAAAACGATACATTTGGTCCGGGTCTGCTTACTGTTCAAACTGGAATTTTTGACAGAGAACCTAAAGATACCGAACCTAAAGGCATAGTCTGAATGATGTATATTTCGTGACAAAACTTACCGAACACCCCAAACAATAGGTGTGTTCGACGTAAAGCGGCGCAGCGCAGACCGACAAAACTTTAATTTAAAGTATGACATTAAAGCACCCATTTACCGATCGGTCTTTAAGTAGAATACACCTAATTCCATTTGCTGGACTATGCACACTCATTGTTGCTTGTACATATGATTTTATTTCCACCACATGCGAACTCACGAAGAGCTCATAAAAGTCTGTTTATCTCCTCATTGCTCCACGTTTGCTCTCTGCTCATTTTGTTTTGGATACACGCTCATTCCGCATCGTCAAATCATGTTGCATAGCGTCGCATCTTGTCATTACATCCTGTTTTTGGTTTGTTTAGAAGTATTTGGTTTGTGTTGCATTCATATTTCATTCGAACCACACCAGAGTTAATTTAAGTGCTGTCAAACGATTAATCGCGATTAATCACATCCATGTGTGTACTATGTCTATTTATTATGTAAATATAAATACACGCACATGCATGTATATATTTAAGAAAAATATGTTATATTTATATATTAAATATATTTATAATATAATATAAATTATATGAATATAAATAAATACATGTACATATTTTCAAAATATATGCTGTATGTGTGTGTATTTATTTACACATAATAAATATACACAGTACACACCCATATATCATGTAAACAAAAACTTTTATTTTGGACGCGGTTAATCGTTTGACAGCACTAGTTCGTTTGGAAGCAAACAGAGTTGTCCTTTTTTAACTAAAGCAGAATAGTTTTATAATATCAACCATCTATTGGTTATTGGCCTTATAGTTTATAGTGTTTATTTATTTCCTTTTTTAATTAAAGGTAATTAAAGTCATTTATTCCTGTAATGGCAAAGCTGAAATTTTGCAGATTTGGTGATCAAGAAACATTTTTTTATTATTAGTGTTGAAAACTGACAATTATTTTCAAACGTAGCTGTCATGAAATTGCCAAAATGGAGA